TGCAAAATAGGAGGGAAAATGAGTTTGGGGGAAAAGGGCAAGAAGCAGGAGAATGTAATAGAGCTGATTAGTTCTCCGTCTTCTCTTGGACCGGTCTTAGCACAACAGGCTCAGCACTCTGTGCCTCGGCAGGATGCTGCTCAGCAGCCTGGCGAGGAGCAGGAGCGATCTTGATTTCGTGCAGACCGATGTCACCTTCACTGCCGCCACGGCTGCTCTGGCTGATCTCGCCATTGGGCGAGTGGCCCTCGAGCATCACCTCGCGCGGGGAGCTACCGAGCATCATCTCGCTGTGTTCGCCGATGCCGTAGCGCTGCGCGGCGGGGACCTGGTGGCCGTCTGCGAGCTGGTCGTGGTTCTGCGGGGTCCAGGCGAGGTAATCACGGCGGACCTCGACGTAGTCGTAGGCGAACTCGCCAAGCTGGTCGTCGTCCATACCGAGGAGCTCTGCTTCCTCAGAGGCGCGCAGGTTCAGGCCGGGGATGGCGTTGATTCCGTAGGCGATAATGGCGGACATGACGAAGGAGTAGGAGGCGGTAGCGACGATGTAGGCGATTTGAATGTACAGCTGCTTGTAGTTGTGGATAACCCAGCCACCGACACCGGTGCCGGTGTTGACACCGTCCAGACCAACAATAGCGTCATCACCGAAAAAGGCGTTGAAGAGCAGACCGACAATTCCAGCGATTCCGTGCTCTGCCAACACATCCATAGAGTCGTCGATTCGGATCCAGTACTTGATCTTAGTGGAGTAATTGCAAACGATACCAGTCACAATTCCGAGAACGACACTGGCCCAGGGAGAAATAAATCCAGAGGCGGGTGTTGCAGCTACCAGTCCTGAGATAGTACCGGAACACCAGCCGACCATCGACCACTTGCGAGCCAGACGCCAATCGAGGAGAACCCAAGTGATGGCTGCAAAGGCGCCAGTCAGGTTGGTGTTCCAGGAGGCCATGGTTGCGCGCAGGTTAGCTCCGAACGAGGAACCACCGTTGAAACCCAGCCAACCGAACCAGAGGAAGACTGTGCCGAGAAGGATGAGAGAGACGTTGTGTGGGCGGAAGTTGAGCATCATGCGTTCCTGTCGGCGACCGAGGACCATCGAGTAGGCCAGAGCTGTGAAACCGGAACCGATTTCGACGGGACCACCACCGGCATAATCCAGCACGCCGTACTTGAATGCCCAACCGTTGACGTTCCAGACCCAACAGGCTAGCGGACAGTAAACGATAGTAGCCCAAATGAAGACGAAAACCATGGCAGGGAGAAGCCGACCGCGTTCAGCGACAGCTCCCATAACGATAGCTGCAGTAACACCACAGAATTGCATCTAGAGATTAACAATTAGCACCCTGAGGACCAAGAAAAAAGAAAAACCAGATCAATGATTTCCCAATGTTCAATCGTACCTGATAGAATGCATAGAGCAAGTTAGGAATTAAAGGAGAACCGGGACTGGGATCAGCCAATGTGTTCATTAAACCGAAGTTGCGCAGGTTGCCGATATAACCATTGGTCGCGGTTGGGGAGAAAGCCAGTGAATAACCCCAGAAATACCATTGGAAGGTCACGACCGAGAAAGAAGCCATACAAGCCCAGATCATACTAAGGGCAGACTTTCGACGCGCCAATCCCGAGTAGAGAAAGCCGAGACCGGGGATCATGATCATGACCATGGCCGAGGCCACGATGATATAGGCCTGGTCACCCGATTGAAACCATTTGTTCACATTTTCGGTGCCTATAAACGAGGGAATCCATGTTAGACCATTATTCCCTTAATAAGATAGGATAGACGCATACGGGAATCGCCGCCCAAGTCTGCGTTGGTCGAAAGGTCGTAGTTGGCAGGAGCTCCAATCCAGTTGTAGGAGGCATAGTCCGGGGCGTACGGGGCTTTCCCGCTAAACGCCATTGTTAAAGGAGCTCGAAGATTTCAAGGATCGCAAGATTGGGGGGATATAACGAAGGTTGTCGAATGTCGTGTGGAGAGGGAAAAGAGAAAATAAAATAAGGATGTTCCAGAAGTTAAGGAAAAGAGAAGAATTCGCCACGAATATAAAAATAAGGAAACCCGAACTCTTCTGAACCAAAAATCCAAAGATAAGTCGAGATCGACACTGGTGGGTCAAATCAAATGGTAAGCAGAAAAAGCAATTCAGCACTTTCAACACAGATATTCTCTTCTTTCACTAGTCAAAAACCACTGCCTAGCACTGAAAAAGTTAAAAAGGAGATGAAACAATTTCCCCGTAATAAAAATATTTGGTAGGAAGGCGCGGCTGGGGGGAGAAAATCGGATTGGAAAAAAAAAAAAGGAAAAAAGTGGTTAAAGTGGTCTTGGGTCAGAGATTGTGACAATAGCAATGGGATAATCCCGATAATACTATATCACTCTCTCACTCTCTCTCTGTCTCTGGTTCTCTCCGTGTTTTCAAGTCTTGGATATAATATAAACTTTGCATTTGATTTCTGTATACATCAATTAACATAATAACACAATTGCTATGACCCTCGTCATCCCGGCGTAGATGGCCGCAAGATAGGGTGGCAAGGGATGATAAGTATGGGGTTTCCCCTGCCAATAGTTCAAGTCTTGGCCTTTTGAGGGATATACTTGCTCTCACAATGGGGAGATTACATGTAGATTATGATCCCATGTACCGTAGTCCAGGTGACTCAACTCCGGGGAATAGTTCCTGGGGTTTCGGGGGAAGTAGATTCCACAGCCTCCGCGGACATGGATCTACTGCTTATATATTTATATATTCTTCAGAAATGAACTCCTTTCATCTAAATAAGAATAGATAGCTTATCATAAGTATCCTGCAGTGAACCCCTCTCTTTTTTGCCTAGGGCATACGGAGTATACCTATGTTGTAGGGGGGATAGAGTCGGAGTTCCATATTGTAGAGATATCGGAAGAGAAACAAGGGAGCTTATCTTGTCTTTCGGATATCAGAGCTTCAAATTCCATAAAATTCCTATCCGCCACCAGCAATTGGACGAGTGTCGCTGTATTCTGATGCATCTGATTGGCTACAGATAAAGTCCAACTTGCCACTTGCACTAAGTGGGTCCAGACCGTAAGCTAAGCCTTTCCCTTTTTGTATTAGCGTATCGAAGTGGGAATGCGTCCAACGATTGGCGACAGATAAGGTCTCCCGTTTCGCCTCTTGGTTTCTCTTGGCTTTCCGTTTTCTCCCGAACGGGTCCGGCAAGGCATCTTCCTACTTTAATTTTTTCTTCGCCGTGTTCGGCTCCTCACCACCGATGCCGGAGTTTAAACCCTATCTCCAGAATACTCAATGTATTCGATGTAAACTGGGATGTGCGATTCAAATATTCAAATTCTATGCAGAGGAAGAAGGGGGAACATTGTCATATTTACGTGTTTCTGTTGATCTTCTATCTGGATGTTCGAAGAAATTACCTTATTTCCCTTATCAGTGACTTTCTGCAGTGTCAGCTAGGTGATCCACTCCCAGGGTCTTCAGCCTCCATCGGGGCCGAGACACTTCTCCATACATTTCGCACTTGGGGTATTTATAGCGAGGCTAGCTTGGAAAATTTTCATGTCTTTGGTATGGAGTAGACTCTCTACGGAGTATGCTGTATAGCTTGATTATATACAGACTTCGAAGTATATGTACATTCTCGCTTCTGGGAATTGCTTAGAATCCAAAATATGTAAAGCACGCGAGTATATATATATTGCTTCAAAGACACTACAATCCTCACAAATCCCAATTATACCCTCAACACCAAAGCAAAAATCAAAACCCAGGACATCACCACTACTACAATAATACTAAATAACGTATACTAAACCTGGATTAACGACTATATGACCAGTCCGCCGTGTATGCGGCCTTCTCATGTCTTTTCTGTAGTCCTCATAGATGTCTTTTTTTTTTTAGATATCTTCTCGCCTTTCTAATACTTACCTCTTCTCCTCCACCTCTCAAGGCTTCAATTGAATCCCTTCCCAGCTAGACAGCAATAGGTTTAAATCGTGCGACTTTCGATACCTACCCTACACAGGTAGATAACCTAGGATGAATGCACCAATGAGATGCATAAAAACCGTCAAAAGTGGGTCCACATTTTGCCTCGCTTACAGCGCACATTTTGACCGAAAGACCATAACAGCATGGCCGGCTGGCCCAATGGCAAGGCGCTTGACTACGAATCAAGAGATTGCAGGTTCGATCCCTGCGTCGGTCACTACTTTTTTCTTCCCAGGAGATAATATCACCAAAGAATATTTGTTTTTACTCCACGGGCAAGGGAACCACACCTAGGTGGTTCAATTCTTCTTCGATCACAGTTCAATAACCACATAAAAGGCCATCTTGTCATATTAACCCTAAGTGGCTTCAAGTCCAGATCATGATAATGTATCGAATGGTTGTCTTGTCCCCGGGTTCAAGTGAAGAACCAGAGAGGCCGAGGTCTACTGAAGTAAGGATTATCTTCCGTTGTTTTATCCTACGAAAACCAAATCTTTTTTTTTCTGGCTAGCTCGAGCTCGGAATATTTTCTTTCATATACCCCAACTAACCAAGTTTCCTTAAGGCAAACATGGTAATGAAAGAAATCCCTATTTTAATGCTACTGCGGGCATGTGTTTCTTTGTATAGCCACTCGGCCCCCCGACAGGACGAATGATCAAGGAAGGTATCCCCCAAGACTTAGAGGTAAATTGCAATTGGCATCAGCCGCACGATGACAAAAAGGGAGTATTTTCCCGCTAAACAGACATTCTCAAAAGGAGACATTGATGAAATGGTGCAAAAGCCTTTGATTGCCAAAACATTGCGGCCCTTGAAAGTCACTCGAAATAAATCCCCCGCGTTTCTTTATACTTCCCTAGCTTATGGTCTCTGCCTTATAATTGCAAAAAAAATAAAAGAAAAAGTCAGCCGGAAACTTGAAACCGAATTGGGATTGGCAAAATTACCAAAGCTTCCACGAAGGCACCCATGAATTCTTTTTCATTGGCAAAAAAATCGGGGGCGTTCTGAGTGCTTCAGGCCAAATATTCGAGCAAGTTCGTAGTCGATCCAGAGTCCCCGATCCGAATCACCCTGAATCAACATGTTTCGGGGATAATGATCAAGGTGTACAATCCCAGCCTCGTGGATTTCAATTAGGAGCTGATGGAGCTTGCGAGCTCTTTCCTCTGTGTAGTTATAGATATCAAACATGTTCACATCAGGAATATATTCCATCAGGACACCACCATTTGGGCGAGACTGGGGATCAAGACTCCGAGGAAAAGTTGCATCATAGAATTTCTTGAGGTGAGGTTGCCAGCCCTTCGCCTCGGGGTCGATATTCTCAACCACCCCATAAAAGCCAGGCACAGATCCTCGTTCACAAAAGCCTCGAGCCTTCAATCGACTATATGCGCCGCTCTCATTTTTGAAAAGATCGATAGAACGGAATGGTGGGTGGATCTTCTCCCATTTATAAGGAGGGAACTACCAGGTCTGTTAGCTATCGCAGGCGTGCTGTGTGACTTCCTCGCTTACCACTTTGAGCACGCAGTCTTTGTCTTGCCAGCGGGCTCGGCACAGAAAGGCCCTATCTATGTGTTTGATGATCTCAACGAGTTCCACGTCAGCAATGTTAATATTGGGTGCATCATAATCCATAATCCGAAGATATATTGTTCTCAAGGCAAGAGGTCTTGAAGCCAAGTGGGATAGCGAAAGAGAGACCGGAAGGGATATATAGTGATGGATGTCTTTCAAGGAGGCGGCGGCAGGACATAGTAGAATGGGGCATCTTTTCCTACGTCCATCTCGTATAAGATCCGGAGCTCAGTTGCGTTTGGCTTATGGTATCTGGGAACGATGGCTGCGAATGACAATCTATACCACGCCCCCTAGTGATATTGCGGCCTCGGCCAGTGTTGCAATTCTCTGAAAGAGTGCATGAGAAGATGTGATTGTACCTCATCTGTATGGTTTAAGAAGGTGGGACTGGGAATAATTGTTGAGTAGTGTGTCTATATAGTAGGAAGACTATCGAGAAATCAAGGGAATGGATTGATTTTCTTCATTAACACGTGTCTATCTGAAGTCCTAGAATCTCCTGGACAAGACTACCCAGAGGTTTTATAACTAGAATTCCAGTTAGTGGGGGATAAGTAACACTAACGTTATGATTTATGCAAGAGATTTCTCTATATATAACCTTTGACTTTGATGTCTAAAATACCACCAAAACAAACCACCAAGAGATAAGCAGCCGACTACATGGGAAAACACGACATATATGCCGACAACCGACAATTCTATTATGTATATGGGGGATATCAATCCAAATATGATAAACTACACACGCCTATGCCATAGACACCTCTAAAATCGTAACAGGCAATCCAAACCGTACACTCGTTGTATCGGTATATCAGACATTGACGCTATAACCGGAACCTACACCACGCCGGCGACGGATCGCATGCAGATACTTACGGCCTTCATCCACCCAGAACACCGAACTGGCAATGAAGACCAGCTTGACTAAGGACCCGAAGCTGAGAGCCTCGGTCTGGAAGATGCGCTGCAGGAAGGGCAGGTAGATCACGCAGGCCTGGCCGGCCAAGGATCCAAGAACAGCGTAATTGAACATTTTGTTTCCGAACAGAGGCATTTCACCGCGCAGGACGGACTTACCCTCGCTGCGGCAGCTCAATGCGTTGAACATGTCGAAGAGAACGAAGCAGGTGAATGTCATGGTGGTGTCATGCGCGGTGACGACGCGGGAGCGCTTCTCGACTGGGCTGCCGTCGGTGATATCGCCCATCTCGTGGATGTAGATTGACAATGTACCGATCATGATGACCATGGCTGAAGTGAGGACGCGCTGGATCAGGGGTTTTGTCAGAACACGGGCTGTCTTGGGTCGTGGTGGGCGGTTCATGATGGTAGGGTCGACGGGCTCGACACCTAGGGACTGGGCGGGCGGGCCATCCATGAGAATATCTGTAATAATTATTAGAGAAATACAGGGGATGGAATCAGATACAAGAGTACTCACTGATCCACAAGATCTGCATAGCATTCAGCGGATTCTTGAAGCCAAGAGTGGTGCTCAACAGTACAAGACTGAGTGCAGCCACGCTGGTACTAAGCTGGAACGTAATGAAGTTCTGGATGTTATAGAAGATGCCCTTGCCCTGTTCAATTGCCCGCAAGATAGTCGAGAAATCGTCGTCCGTCAGAATCATGTCTGCTGCCTCCTTGGCAACGTCGGTGCCAAGCTTGCCCATGGAAATACCTATGTCGGCTTTCTTCAGAGCGGGTGCATCGTTGACACCATCGCCGGTCATGGCAACCACATCTCCGCGAGCTTGAAGTGCTGTCACAATTTTCATCTTGTGGTCTGGGCTCGTACGGGCAAAGATTGAAACCGTTGAAATCGCCTGGGAAAGTTCGGCAGCAGTCATGCGGTCGAGTTCATCACCCCCGATGACCGAACGTGAATGTGGGGAATCACTGACTGGCATCCCAAGCTTCTTCGCTATAGCCACAGCTGTTGTCTCGGCGTCGCCAGTAATCATGATGATTCTGACACCACCAGTCATCAAGCGTCGAATGGATTTGTGAACATCTTTACGCGGTGGGTCATTCATACCCACAAGTCCAGCGAAGACCAAGCCGTTGTATCGCTCGTCATCATCACCATGAACGATTTTCGGGGATGACCGACTGCCAAAGCCTCTGCCACCTCTAGAAGTGTCACGAACAACACCACTGGCAAAAGCGAGGACCCTAAGACCCTCTGATGCCATATTCTCTGCCGCTTCCCGGATGATTTTGCGACGGGGTTCGTCTAGAATTACTTCCCGACCATCCTTGGTGAGATAGGTATCTGATCGCGCCAGGACCTGTTCGAGAGCACCCTTGATATAAGCAACATGGGGGCCTCCATTTGTACCACCAGAATCGCCGATAACAACACCCATCCATTTCCGCTCTGAGCTGAACGGGGTCTCGTGGACACGAGCGCTGATACGATCGCGAACATCATCTTCTCCCAGAGTATCCATTAGATCCAAGATTGCCACATCGGTAGGCTGACCCACCCACCGACTCTTGGCAGCAGCCGAATCACTGTTGATGGTCGAAGAAAGTACTGCGGCAGAAGATGCGCTGGCGGGCGAGTTTGCGTGCATCCGTGACAAACGAGAGTTGTTTGCAATATTACCAACGCGGAGGATTGTCTGCGCTGCCGGACCAGAAGGAATCACCGAAGTCGTTTCTCTTTGCACCTCGAATGGCTCTGGACAGTCGAAATGCCACATTTTGGTAACTGTCATGTGGTTGAGAGTGAGAGTTCCAGTCTTGTCCGAGCAGACGACATTGACAGAGCCAAGGGTTTCAACGCTGGGGAGTCTCCGCATGATCGCCCCCCTCTTAGCCATGCGCAGGACGCCGAGAGCGAGTGTGACAGTGACAATGATAGGCAAGCCTTCCGGGATCGCTGCGACGGCTAGAGACACGCCGATTGTGAACATTTCGAGAATCTTACGACCTTGGATAAGACCGATGACTACGATCAATCCAATAACACCGAAAGAGATATAACTCAGCTCCTGGCCCAAGCGATCCATAGATAGTTGCAGGGGTGTTCGAGGGCTCTCGATTTCTTGTAGCGAGGCCGATATACTACCAAACTCCGTCTTGGCGCCGGTCGAGATGACGATGCCCTGACCGTAGCCTGAGCGGACTAGTGTACCCATGAAGGCAACATTGTGCTGCTCGTTCAACCGAATATCAGCGCCAACAGCGCCGGTAGCCGGTGCATCATAGAACGGAGATCGAGGGGGTTCTATTCCTTTTGGCGCTGGAGTGGCCCTACCAGATGCGGTGCGCAAAGCTTCCGCATACTTCGCTACAGGCTCGTTCTCTCCGGTCAAGTTCGACTCATCAATGCTGAGATCTGTTGCAGCGGTGATTCGAATATCGGCGGGAATACGATCTCCGGTAGTGAAAAGAACCAAATCTCCGGGCACAAGTTCGTTCGCGGGGACAGTTGAAGAAGCCTTGACCGCAGCAGACGCTGAGCCTGGGCTTTTGCTCCGAATTTCATCCATTTCCATAGATGAACCCATGGGCGACGTACCGCCATTCTCAGTTGCCGTGGAGGAAGCTGTTGGAAGATCTCGGATCAAATGGGCATAATGGGGCACAAGTCGGCTTAATGCTTCCAACGACTTCTCCGACCGATACTCTTGAACAAAGCCAACTGTCACAACAATTGTTACCGCAAGAGTAATGCTGATGGCATCGTCGTAGTTGCCCATCACAAAAGAGATTCCAGCAGAGCCGAGGAGGAGGAGAATCAGCGTCTCCTTGAATTGTTTAAGGAACCGCAGCCAGAGGGGTTCTGGCTCATCGTGGGGAAGCTCGTTCGGTCCATCTCTAGCCAAGCGTATCTCTGCCTCAGCGGGTGTCAGGCCGTGTAAAAGGGAGGTCCGCAGTCGCTCGGCAGTTTCATGAGGCTCGAGCCACGAATACGTTGAGGTCGATGCCTAGAAAACAAGACCATGTGTTAGAAACTCCATTGTCTAGGGGTGTCGAGAGGTGGAGCAAGGATATAGCACACGTAGTACATCAATCAAGCAAGTATACTTACCGACGATGGAGCATTTGGCGGTCCGGTCATGTGTGTTGTGGAGGGAGGCCGAAGAAAGTCGGCGTTTGATGCATTATGCAAAGGCAATGAAGGTGTTGCGGACCTTGACATTGCTCATGCTTTGGGGGATGAATTGTGAAAGACAAGAAAATAAGACTTTAGATATCCCGAGAAGTAATTTTCATCCCGTCTCGATAAGAATTGACTATGCTTCGACAATTCACGTTAGTTGCGATCTGGCAGCAGCTTCACACGGGGGGGCGGTTAGACTAACGGCTAGATTTGCGGAGTTGGCGCAAGTCGGCCGACAACAAACAAGGGACGGATAGATGACTTGAGACCAAAAATCCAACTCGAGAGAGCCTTTTGCTATAATCCAAACCGCAAAATAAGTCCATTCAGAGTATCGAATCCACTTGGAAGAGGCTAAGTCCCATGATGATGCTTTACCCGTTGCGGCCTAGCTATTTCGGGTATGGAGTTTATCCGGATACTACATTTAGATTAGCGCAAGATATCACGTGTAGGGCAGAGTATTAGGATGTACTCTATAAGAGCGATGATTTATATAAGAGTTTTTTATGGTTTTCTGAGAAATATTTCTGGAAATTTTATTCATGATTGTTTTTTTTTCTCTATATGCATCCTGGATCACATAGTTTATTCACCAATAAAACTCATTGTTGTGGTACTTCGTCCTTCGTACTGCTCTGGTATTCCTTTGTGTACACTACACGTGACTCGACATTCCCAGCCCCCTCAATTACATCAGCAAAAATCCCGCCCAGGCCACAGCTGCCGCCTGATATTCCCACCGACGCGCATCTTCCGTTCCTCCTTGGTTTCTCAGCCAACTCCAAGATATCCCTCGCGCGCACATACCCTTCCCATCTTCATCGTCTTCGATGTCTTGAATTCACGCGATCGAGTGATAAACTTTTTATCCTTTTAGCTACACATCTATCTTTTCATACGATTACCGAGTGCGATTCTTCGCACAAGTCATTGT